AAAAAAAAAAAAATGGACAAAGGATATTTAGACAAAATAGACATTTAGGACAAAATTGACATTTCTCCAAAGAAATACAATGGCCAATAAGTACATGAAAAGATACTCAACATCACTAATCATTAGGAAAATGTAAATAAAAACGAGATATCACTTCATACCCATTAGGGTGGCTATTATTTAAAAAACCAGAAAATAACAAATGTTGACAAGGATACAGAGATATTGGGACTCTTGTGTACTGTTGGTAGGGAGGTGAAATGGTGCAGCCACTGTAGAAACCAGTACGACCGTTCCTCAAACTTATTTGTACATCCATGTTCATAGCAGTAGGATTCACAATAGCCAAAGGTAGAAGCCACCCAAGCGTCCATCAAGGGATGAACGCATACACGAACTGCTATATCCACAGAATGGAATATTACTCAGCCTTAAAAAGGAAAGAAATTCTGGCACATGTAACAATATAGATAAACCTTGAGGACCTTATGCTAAGTGAAATAAGGCAGACAAAAAGGTTAAGATGTTACATTTTATGTTATGGATATTTTATGCCAACTAAAAATAAATAAGTAAAAATCTTAAAATTAATAATATGGGTTTGATTTTCTTAAACGTTTTCATATTTGATTCTAATTCTTTCTGGGGTTCAAAATGTTTTTCCACTAAGGAAATTATTACCTCATCCCAAATGATCCTGGGGTTAACCTTTCCAAGAACATCTGGAAAGATACTTTCTCTTCCTGATAAGACTGTGTGACAGCTTGCTCCGCAGGTGGGACGGGAGGTCTAGAGCTGCAGACAGGACTATTTTCATAGGATCTCGACTGACAGGCTGAGCACCTTTGAATAGTCACAATGTCACGGCCTCCAAAACTTTTATAAGAGGTGGGGCTGACTGAGACTATGCCCAGGTCGAAATCTTTTCTCCATCCCTCTCAAAGATTGCAACATCACAGAATTCTGCATTTCTTTAATTTTTAAATTACTTATGTTTTCCTGTCTAGCTCTAAAGACCAATGGCTTTGTTGGGACTTTGCATTCTGTTATTTGTTATTTTTCCATTCTGGCAAGGTTACAACTTACAAACACATCTCAGTGACCTGGAATTGGATTCTGGGTCTCGCCAGCTCTGGCTGGTGTTCTGTAAACATACCTTCAATCTTAGTCTTGAAGTGAGGGTATCTGTTGAGAATCTCCACCTGCTTCTTCCAGTCAAATTCATTCCGCCAGTAGGAGACGATTTTCTTCAGATAGTTGGAGTTGAAACCGTAGTGGAAACGACTGTCCTTCAATGGTGGGGTAAATCGGAACCTATCGATCCTCTGGTGTAGGTCCTGGAGCCAAATGCAGGACCCCAAGGAGAGTGGGGTGGGTGGGGCAGAACAAAAGAGAAAGTTTGTTTCCAGAAGACACAGCAAACCTTGCAGCCACAAGACACGTGCTACGTGATAGCAGCAAAGCCAAGTTCCCCACATCACTGGCTACTCCCAAAGCATATGTGTCCTGCACATACAACTTCACATGTGACTTACAATTTACTTCTTTTTTTCTTTTTTTTTTGGTTATTACCTTTTTCATCTTTCATTTTTAAAATGTAGGAGCATACTTCTCTTTAATTTACCTAGGATTCCACATAGCAGCAGTCACTTTTTTTCTTTTTTTTTTGGTTATTACCTTTTTCATCTTTCATTTTTAAAATGTAGGAGCAATACTTCTCTTTAATTTACCTAGGATTCCACATAGCAGCAGTCAGCAAACTTTTTCTGTAAATGGCCAGACTGTAAACATTTTAGGCTTTGCAAGTAGTAACTACTTCACTGTGTCTTTGTGGCATAAAAACAGCCACAGACAATATGTAGATGAATGAACGTGACTGTGTTCCAGTGAAACTTTATTTAGGGACATTAAATCTGAATGCCATATAACTTTTTTTTTTTTTCCTTTTTGTCTTTTTTCGTGACCGGCAACGGGATCACAACCCTCGGT